TACAGGTGCAGGGGGTTTTTATCTTTTGGATGTCATCTTAGCCAAGTATGCAGTTCAATTATTACAAGCATAACTACATAACCACCTACTCCACTACTATGTCTAATAAAAACTATGTATTTATAGATATGAAAATTAATTTTAATATTGCATTATATAATAAAATTGCATTATTGGCTATATTATTATAATATATATTGCATTATACAATAAAAGTTACTCTTAACTTTGCACACATAACATCTACTTTAACATTTGCCAAAAGCCAATATTAAAAGATGTATTTATAACACTAGGGAAGAATTCCTGCCCAATTTCTCACTGTGTGCCAGCAGGAACAACTCCCCCTGCCCAATCCCCACAAATCCCAGACTCCCATTCCCCCCTGTTATAAAAACCTGTTCTTTTATTGGCTTTTCACAAATATTAAAATGAATGCTCTATGCATAACGTTGGAAAACTTAGAAATAGCAGTGTGATAAATACATATCTTTTCTTGGACTATAAATGGTGATGTAAAAAGCTTTTAGTTCATGTAACTAACTCAGAGAATGGTAAAAAAAAAAAAGACAATCAGGAAATTCTTCACATTTTTGGATTATCCCCGATGAAGATCAGGGGTGATGAACACCAGAACTGCAGGGAAGGAATTTATTGATCTCCATTATCAGCGAGTGTGCTGACAAGAAGGAGCCACGAGGAGAAATTGAAATTAAAAAAATTAAGAAAAAAAATTTAAAAAATTAAAAAAAAAAAATTAAAAAAATTAAAGAGGAAGTTGATGTACAGGTTGAGGGGTGTGATTTTGAATAAAATGCATGAAGGTCTATGAATATGCAACAGGTCGATGCATTTAAAGAAATGTTTCCTGAGTTAGTGCCTGCTCTTGGCTGAACGCCAAGCACGCGGCCGTCACAACCTTTTGCTTTATTATTTCTCCCTTATTGCCTTTCACTAAACCTTTCAAAAATCCAACAGGAAACCTCAAACCTCCTTTTCCACGCCCTCAAATCCCCACCTGTATATTCCACCTCCACGTCGGCCAGAGCCTTGAGGGTGTTCTCGTAGTTGACCTCTCCGCGCTCCTGGGCTCCCACGCGGTCGTACACGAGCTTGGTGCTCTCGGTCAGCTCGGTGGCCATGGCCTCGATCTGCTCGGCCGTCAGGTCCCAGCGCAGCTGCCTGGCCACGAGCCGCGGGGCTTGGCTGTCCACGACATTCCCTGCGGGGACAGAGCCCTGAGCTTCGGGGGAAGGAGCGCGGGAGGAGCGCGGATCGTTCCCCGGATCGTCCCCCGGGAGGAGCCCGGATCATTCCCCGGGAGGAGACCGGATCGTTCCCCGGATCACCCCCGGGAGGAGCCCGGATCACCCCCGGGAGGAGCCCGGGTCGCCCCCGGATCACCCCCGGGAGGAGCCCGGATCACCCCCGGATCACCCCCGGATCACCCCCGGGAGGAGCCCGGATCATTCCCCGGGAGGAGCCCGGATCATTCCCCGGGAGGAGCCCGGATCACCCCCGGATCACCCCCGGGAAGAGCCCGGATCATTCCCCGGGAGGAGCCCGGATCACCCCCGGATCGCCCCCAGAGGAGCCCGGATCGTTCCCGAATCACTCCCGGGAGGAGCCCGGATAACCCCCCGATCGCCCCCGGATCACCCCCGGGAGGAGCCCGGTTCATCCCCCGGGAGCTTTTCACCCTCCCGGTGGTGATAAATCCTCCCCCGAAACCCGACTCCGTGCCCCGCCGAGTGCCCGTGCCAGGGACAAGGCCGCGGGGCACAGAGGGCACTTGGCGGGCAGAGGAGTCGCCCTGAGAGGCCGCCTCTGGCCCCGGCCCGCTGGCCCCGGCCCAGTCCTCGTGCTCCCGGTTCCGTCCTGCCTGCCCCGGTCCGGTCCCGCTGCTCCGGCCCGGTCTCTCTGCCCGGTCCCTCTCCCCTCACCCGCTCCCCCGGTCCCGTCCTCCACCCCCGGCCCCGTCTCGCTGCCCGGTCCCTCTCCCCTCACTGCTCTCCCCACTCCCCGCCATCCCCTCGCCCTCTCCCCGTTCTCCCCATCCCGCCGCCGGTACCTGTCGGAGGGGCCATGTCGGTGGTACCGGGAGGCCCCGCGCTGCTGACGAGGCCAGAAAGAAACCGGGCCGGCGCCACGCACCGAGCATGTGCCCCGACCGGAGAGGCGGGCGGGAGAGCGGAGCATGATGGGAACGTGGAGGACCGGGCCGCTCCGGCCTCGCTCTCGCGGCACCGGGACCGGGGAGCGGGGCCGGTTCATCCCCGCCGTGACCCTCGGAACCGGCCGGGAGCGGCCCCGGGGCGTGTGCGGGGCGGGCGCGGAGCATCCCCGGGTCCCGCCCGCCCGTTCCCATGGCAACGCCTCCGCGCGTTGCCGTGACAACGCCACATCTCTATGGTCCCGGTGTGGGCGTGGCTTCCTCCACAGACCACGCCCACCGTGCATTATAATGAGGGGCGGGGCCGTAGCGGCGCCTGCGCGCTGCGGGCGCGGCGCATGCGCAGAGCGGGAGCGCGCCCGGCCCAGGCGAGTGTCCGGTGAGCGCGGGGGGACCGGGGGACACCGGGGACACCGGCACCGGGACGGGGCTCCCACCGGCACCGCTCCGCCTCCAGAGCCGCTCCTGCCGGGCCGTGCTTCCCGCCGGCAGCCTGGGGGCAGCGGCACCGGGTGCTCCGGGGGGGCGGGACCGGCCGGGACGGGCCGTACCGGGAGCGGGCTGTGCCCCCCCGGCGGGGGGGATTTCTGTGTCTCCGGTTCTGCCGGTGCCAGGCCCGGAGTTGCCCGTCCCGGTGCCGGTGGTGGCACCGGCGGGACCCCGCGGTTTCCCGGGGCTGGCCCGGTTGTCTCCACCGGGGGAGGCTCCGGGCGCTGCTCCCGGGGCTTTGGGAAGCCGAAGGGGCAGCGGTGCCTTCCCCTCTCCGCCCGTCCCGGGGCCCGCCGGGGGAACGGGAGCTCAAACGGGCCCGCTTCGCTTCTGTTGGACTCATGAAATCGAGTTTATTTCTCAATTAAACGAGCCTGGGTGTGCTACAAACCCAATTAACGGGCGGGAGGGGCAGAGCTGGAGCCGCTTTCCCTCGGGAATTGCCGTGGGATCGCTGGGAATTCCCAGCCTCGGGTTGTGCTTTTTGGGGTCTCTGTGCTTTGGGGTTTCCCTCATTTTCCCTGCCAGGACAGGCTGGCACAGCCCTGGCTACCAGGGGCTACCAAATTCCTTCTGCTCTTGGCTTTGGTTTCAGCTCCAAGCCGTGCTCGGGGAGCAGAAAATTGGGAATTTTTCCTGGGGAACTCCTCAGTGCTCCAGGGGTGCTTCCCTTGGCGGGGTTGTGCCAAGCAGAGGCTGAATCCAAGCCTGGAGAATTCCTAAAGAATATCAGAGGATAAATCCAGACCTGGAGAATTCCTAAAGAACATCAGAGGATAAATCCAGACCTGGAGAATTCCTAAAGAATATCACTCTTTGAATCCCTAATTTCTGTCTCTCCAGAATGTTTTTTTAATCCCTTTACCTTTTCAGTCACTAATTTCTGTCTCTCCAGGTTGATTTTTGAAGCCCTTTACCCTTTGAATCCCTAACTTCTGTCTCTCCAGAATTTTTTTTTTAAGCCCTTTACTCTTTTGATCCCTAATTTCTTGACTTTCCAGGATTTTTTTTCATCCCT